ATACCAATTAATAACTCAACCAAAGGTAAATTTTAACCTGGTCTATGTCTGAATGATTAAGGAAAACATTTATTTAATCAAGACCAAAACTGGGCAGTTTTTCTATGGTAGTACTACTTCTATACAGAATTTCTTTTTTCTTTTGAGGGGCTAGCACCTACTAATAACAATAAAACATTCTATTCCCTGAGATAACAGCTCCTTCTTTCCAGATAAATCAACCCCAGTTTCAGGAAAAATCAAGCATCCTAGGCCCACTGTAGAGAAGAGAAAAGCTGAGAGAGATGCATTGGTGAAATGGACCCAGGCATCCATTTCACTGTGTTATGTGATAATCCCCTATCCAGAGTACTTTATGCAGGGGAGGAGGGAAGTCTACATATATTTTTGGAAATGAATGATTTTAGTTTGCTAATCATGAATTTAAGTCTGACAACATTAACCTAACAACTCAAAAGTACTGGCTTTAAGCCAGAAAAGTTTTGCATACCATTTTGATTTTTTCAATACTTAAGACCCCTAAAAATAAAATGGGTAGATAAAAGGCATGAAGACTGAACATACTAGGCACAACCACTCACCTCATGAATAAGCCACAAAAGGAAGGATTCCCATAGGGACCTGAAGGCTCTTGGTGAAAAACGTCTCCTCTTCTCACCAGCATAGGATTTGACACCTCCAAGAAATTATTCCCCCACCCCCATGCCTGAAGTGTACACATATCACCTCTTCACTACCCTCCCTAATGAGAATTTTAAAACATTTTCTAATATTCACACTTTATTTACCATGCCAATGCTGGGGACAACGTGAGCAGGCCTAACCCATAACAGCTGTCTCCCATGCAATACAGGGATGATGTGATTCACCAGCAAGGTGTGCCTCTGAAACATCTCCTTGACCAGGAAAAAAAGTGACCCTTAGGACAAGAGAATAACTACCTGGAGACTTTAACCTGTATCTAATACTACTTACAATAAACAGCATCCTAAGATGAGGTGAACATGTTGTTTTCCATTTTTATGCCATTTTGTAAAAGCACAGGCTGGTGAACCACCTTGAACTCAGAATGCTAAACTTTCACCCAGCATGCTCAAGAAAACACATTAATATTTTGGTTAACAGAATAAAGAACCACAGGAAGACTGCTAAGGTGAAATGCTAGAAGACAAACTGAATTTTGCCACAGAAATACCAGATGTGTAGAGAACCACCAAACATTTTTGGTGATTCCTTAAGTGCTAGGCTTTAGGCTTGCTGTCGTAAATTACCTAGCAAGCATAATAGAAAACAGAATCTTGAATCTCACCTGAGAGCAGATATCTAGTAGATGTAAAGTGGATCCCAGAAACTATATTTCTAACTCACTTCCCTTGTAATTAAGATGCAACCAAAGTTTGGGAACAACTGCTTTGAGATTTCACAGAGCCTGAGGGACTTCACTTCACTCACTACAGAAATACTGAGTATTTGTCATTTATTCAAACCACCAACTACCGCACAAAACCCTACTGAGCTAATGCTATTAGGAAGCCCCAGGAGAAACTGCTAAATAAACCACCTCTCACAGCCACTTGATTCACTGTTTCAATATCCCCAATAACCAGGAATCTTACCAAACGCATACTAAATGCTTAGTGGCTTAGAGGACACAAACACTTGTATACACTAACCAATCTTCTGTACACCTTTCTAAAGCAAAGCACAGTTTCATGGCAAGAGTTTTGATGTAATGATCAGAAAATAAGGATTTGTTTGTGTCACAGCTCTCTCTTCAACTGCCTGGTCTTGGCTAAACTGTACAACCACCAGTCTCCACTCTGACTGGGGACAGAGAACAGTGCTTAAGCCTAAATTACATATGGGTCCCGCTTTAATTCCAAAACCTCTGTGGTTCCCTACGGATAAAGAATCTAGACTTCAAAGAAGTGGGAACTCAGCAGGAACTTGAACAACCTGGTAAGACAGAAGCTGAAGGACGGAATTCCTTTAGATGGGCTCCAAAAGATGAGATGACCACAATTCAACTATAAATGAGTGGGAAAGGTTATACCAGGAAGTAGGTGCTACAGAAGCATATGCATAGACGCTAGGAATGAGATCACCTTACAAGTAAAGAGCCAGTCTGACTACAGTGGAGAACGGCAATAGCACTAGCGTCACTCCTACAAAGCTCAGACAGATGACAGGGTACAACAATAAAGAAACACCATGAAATTTTGAGTGAGCAGTAACATGACTAAAGAGAGATTTGTAATAAAGTGGTGCTGACAGCCATCATCAGCATAGAATAGAGGAGGGAAAACAACTAATTTATAGAATAGTATCCTAGAAAATGAAAAGGCTTAAACTCAACTTCCAAAACATTCTTAAAGCTGTGAATACAAGAAAAACTGGGTTTAAGACATTGTACATGAGCACAAGACCTGTCTGATGGAAATAAGTAAACACAGAACAAACAGGCAAAGGCGGTGCTATATACTTGTGTGAAATGGTCTGCTTTGTCTCTCAGACAAATCTGGATACCAGCTGTAATCTAATTTTTTTTTTTTTTTTTTTTTTGAGACAAAGTCTTGCTCCGTCACCCAGCCTGGAGTACAAAGGTACAATCTTGGCTCACTGAAACCTCCTTCTCCCAGTTTCAAGCGATTCCCCCACTTCAGCCTCCTGAGTAGCTAGGATAACAGGCACATGCCACCATGCCCAGCTAATTTTTCTATTTTTAGTAGAGATGGGGTTTCACCTTGTTGGCCAGGCTGGTCTTGAACGCCCAACCTTGTGATCCACCTGCCTCCACCTCCCAAAGCGCTGGTATTACAGGCATCAGCCATGGTGCTCAGCCTATCTGATATTTTTACAGGAACTATGTGGGGGCGGGGAAAGAAGTAGGCTGCTATTTACCCAATCACCCTGACCCACATCTCAGAAAATCAGAGATAGATATCACAGTATAAGAGCCACAGGCATTACTGTCCTTTCTTCCAAATATTCAGCCCAAGCAGCTGGGCCCTAAGGAGAGAAGGCTGGATGAGGCAAAGAAAGGAAGCAGCTGTCATCAACTGTCTCCTTGAAGGCCACAGGCATTTCTCCTGTGGAGACTTATTTCCCCTGCCTTCCTACCTTCTTCTGGATCTCAGTGCAGTGAGAATATATAACAAAAAAACTGACACACTAGAATGAAATAAGGGTAATTAATTCTGAATGGAGAAAAGGACAGTTACGAGGATGAGCCATCCTAACCATCCATTCCATTTTCTTCTCAATAACAACTCAGGACCTCAGAACTAAGACAAATTAGCAGCAATCCTGGAGATCAATATAAATTGAGGAAGAGAAGCCTGCAAAAAACTGCAGTAGGATAGAGAGCATACAGTCTGAAGGTAACAGAACATTAGGTGTCTTTATTAAAGAATACATTGTTACTTAATAGTACTAGTAACGGATCTCTGACACAAATAAAAAGTATGCAGAGAAACGTAGATAATTAGAAAAAGCAGTCCAGATTGAAAAAACTTCAAAACAAAAAGTTAAGGCTTTATCTTAGATTTCACTGGAAGTCTGATTTTTTTTTCCCCTTCACATTTTGATAATATATAGTAGCCAGTTAATTTTCTGATTGAATGGTGAATCTTTTCATAGGACTTTTTCTTGCTCAAGAAACATCTAGAATTCTTGGACCTTTCATACCCACGTATATCTGGGAACCACGACATACTTTCCTTTATATAAGAGGGCTGGTAGGTATTTTTCTTAGGGGACAATAAATATAAAGAATGATGTGTCAAAACCACTCAGGACTAATCAATTACCTTAACTGGTAATTCTAAGAAAAGCAACTTTAAAGCACAAAAATGACACTGCATTTCCAGATACCGAAGAAAATGAGCAAAAATCTCTTAGACGAGTCTCTAAGCAAGATGGATACTACAGCCAGCCTTGACTAACTTCCCCTCACCACTTCAGGCTATAGTCTGAGCTCGTTTCTTAAATCAAGGGCGGAAAATAGGTTCAAACTTGAGTCAATTGATAGAGGTTGTCTGGAACACTATTTTGAAAAATATTTGGGAGCCACATCTAGACTCAGTAAGAAAGCATGCCATGATTGATTAGCAATGTCTGCACTGGACAGGAGAGAGTAAATTGACGGTACACATACTAAGAATTTGCTAGAGGCAACATCCTTTTTATTTTCTAAAGGAAAAGAAGTCTATGCTGTGAATTGGATTAGCTCCCTCTCCAGAGAGAATCTATGTAAGAATTTCAAAGATTCACAAAAGCAGCAAAGTACTCACAAAATTATTTACTATGTGTCTTAAAAAAAAAAAAAACAACAGGAAAAAATAACCTGTGTCATGTAAGTTCCTCTAGTCAGTCTCCTCAAAGCAAGCTGAATTTGCTAGAACAAACTACAACTCAAGCACCAAATGTAACCTGCCACCTTTTTGTATAATCCATGAGCTAAGAATGTTTTTTACATTTTTTTAACTTGGAAAAAATGAAAAGAATATTTTGTAATACATTAATATCTTATGATCTCAAGTGTCACTGCCCATAAAGTTTTATTGGACCATGGCTGCATCCATTTGTTTATGTAGTGGCTATTGCTACTTTCATCTCTAAAGGCAGAGTTGAGAAGTTGTGACAGACTGCACGGCTCACAAAACCTTGCTTATTTAGTACCCAGACCTTTATAGAAGAACAAGTCTAAGGTTTCCTCAAGTAGTTCTCTATAACGGAAGGAGATTTGATTCCGTAGGCTTCCTAAAATATTTATCTAAGAGAGTTGCTGCTCTGGCCCTTTGCAAATATGTGAATGATTATATATAGTACTCTTGAACAAGCCGTTTCTCCCATCATGCAACAAACACCAAAATTCCACGATGTCTCCAAGGTAATTGTTCATATGGGCCCAAAAGGAAGAAAGGAAAGAACTACAAAAGTAAGCTTAATTTTTTTAAACTTCTGTTCTACAAGTAGATATAAAAAACTTTTAAACATACTTTTATTGTTTTGGTTTGAAGTCTCAATCCATTCAGGGTGTTGATAGCTTTCTCTGCATCCTTGGGGTCAATGTAGTTCACAAAGCCATATCCCAAGCTCTGCCCTAATGAAAGGGAAGGGGAAAAAGGCACATATTAGTTCTACACTGCTGACAGAGATTGACTTTCATTTTGGCATATGGTCTTGTCATTAACACCAGCACATTTCCTGAATAGTAAAAAGAACTCTCTATTAGTTCTAGAAATATACATGAAGTCTTTTTGTGTTCCATCTACTATATTTGCAAGTTTTAGAACTCAGCAAACCGTGCTGTTTAGGAAAAAACCACACATCCCCAAAGGATTCCAACATACATGACCTGCCTGAGCCAGAGTATACCAGCAACAGACAATGCTCAGCCTCAGAGACTGTAGGGATAAATCTCTCTGCTATGGAGAGGGCTTAACAGACAAGACCTTTTCAGCTTCAGTCTCCTTAGCCATAAAATGGGAAGACAGAAAACATTAACCAATAATCTGTCAGCGTTCTGTAAATTGTACCGTGACACATTTACAGCCTTTACCAAGTGCAATTATGTTGGAGTCTAAAATGATGAAGATCCATATGTGGGTGTGTACACATAGAAGTTTATTTTAGAGGAGGGCTTTTCTTCAAATAAACTCAATCAATTTCTCCAAAGAGGGTTTTATGATCTAGATTAGAACAGGAAAATACATGAACACAAAGGATTTGCAGTGATGACATCAAAGCCAGTGAGAACATATGGGAAAAGGAGAAAAAGAACATAAACAAACATAACAAGAGAAAAAAAAGTGTGGAATAAGAGTTGCTGCAAAGTAACTGTTTGTTGTTGTTGCCACCCTCCCCCTATCATCTGAACCCTCTCACTCCTGGCTCAGTGGTGCTCGAAATCTCAGAAAATTTGAGCTATCAAAAGCAGATGAATAAACGGAATGCGAAGATTAGTAAAGTCAATCCCAAAGGTCTCAAGTTTTCAACCAACAAAAGTTTCGCGGTTTAAAACAAAAAATATCATACAGATGACAAAAATGGGCATAAGAAAAGTTTGGTCTTCAAAAGTCAAAACAAACTAAATGAAGATTTCCCAGATGCCCAAAGACAGTCCAAACGCTTTTATTAAGTACTACTGTTGCATGAATTTCACAGGGAAGGGAGGGATTTGTTCTTGATGGGGCACCGTAGGTCCAAGTGGTTATCATGGGGTTTTTATGATGGATAATCTGGTTATCTTAATGTGGTTACTTGTTACTACATAAACAAAAACAGAAGGCTACCTACAGTGCCCAATATGAAAACTGGTGATTGTATTTTGGGACCACAATCAGAATTTTGGATAATCACTGCTAATACATGCGCTCTTATGAAAACGTATTTTTTTCCTGTTTTTAAAAAAGAAAAAGGAATAAAGAGTTAAAAACTAATTAGGTTAATTTTGTGTATCTCACACTAAAATTGAGAGGTTTTATTTTGCAATTCTAGTAAAGAGTCACATGTGAAGCCACCGTATTTTTAAACATTCAGGTTTTTATTAATTCAACATTTAGCACGTGTCTACTGCTTGCATTGTGCCCCTCCTATGTAATTGTGTTGCAGTCCAATTGTCACTGAGTAGAATTAAATTGGCTGAATGTAACAAGATCTGCTGAAGGAACCAGCTTACAGTGTATAGAAGATGGACTTCTAATACTGGCTCTGGTGTTTACTGGCTGTCAGTCAGCTATGCAACTTTGAAGAAGCTACTTAATATCTCTCTGAACCACAGCTTCCTTATCTCTAAAATGAGGATAATTCCTACCCAACTAGGTTGCTGACACAATGATGAAAATACTCATTAATGATCTAAGTGGATCACCCTAGTCAAAATATTACATGAGAAAAAATACCATACTTACTGTTAAAGATTTTAAGTGTATTCACTTAAAGTTAAATTAAAAAGATGCTACAAATGTAACAGAAAAAAAGGGCAAGCCAAATATCGTATATAGTTTTGTCACACTGCTGTTGTATGACAAAATAAATCGTGTCAGCATAGTCTAAATGCCCTTTCTACTCGTACTATTCCTCCACCTGCATCTTAACAGCTTCTGACCCCAGTGCATTCTCAACCTGGGCTGCACTGGAATCAACTAGAAAGCTTTTAAAAACTAAAACCAAAAAAAACCCTGATGCCAGAATCTCACTCCCAAAGATAGATACATATAAATACACATGTATGTGTGTGTGTGCACGCACACACGTGTATATAATTGATATTTCACTACATTGGCTGTGTGCGTGTGTGCTCGCGTGCACGCGCGTGTGTATACCCGAGATGAGATCTCACTATGTTGGCTGGGTTGGTCCTGAACTCCTGGGCTCAAGTGATCCTTCCATCTTGGGCTCAGATTTTATTGGTCTGTCATGAGGCATTGGTACTACCTTTTTAAAACCCTGGTGACTAACGTACAACCTCCACGTTGAGAAATCACTATATTAATGGTGAGAACCAAGTTGGGGCTATAACGGGGCTGCGGAGAGGCCTAAGAAAGGTCTTGCAGGGAAGACTGCCATTTCACAGTTGAGTTGTTTAGATATATATGGATGTGTTTCTTCTAAAATCTTCAAGTTATCCATCATTTCAAAGAAACAGCTTATTGGCCTCCTGAGGTCAGTCTGGGGCACAGGAGTGCCCACTGAGATTATATCATGGGTAAAGTGAAAAGTCTGTCTTGCTTACTTCCTACTCGGCTGTTTCCCACTGTGGCCTCTGAACTTTACTAAATCAAAGAATGAGAAACTTCCTGTTGTTATTTATTTAAGCAAAGGTATTATCACCACCACCATCAGAGGACCCAACTATCAAATGGGTCTTCCACCTGACACCCTCAAGCAATCATGACTAGCTATAATGAGTCAGTCAAATATCTAATATCTGTTAAGTTGTTTATACTCAGAAATATTTATCCCCCAATGACTTCTCCTTGTAAAAAGTTCCTTATTTGACTAATGGCATTATCAGGATGAATGCCACTCAGAATATGTTTCAGGTAAGCAAAATTGTATTCTTATCCTAAGCAAAATAATATGAAAGCTTGGGGGCTATGTGCCACTGAAAGAGTGCACTCGTAAACCTACCATCGTTGTTGCATTAAAATGCTGGCACTGTAACAAAAGGGAGTTAGAACTTTTAAGTTACTTTACAGTAAAAATCTGTAATCAAGGCAGCAAATATATATTGGATGTTTAAAATATATGAAGGGCATCACAGATGATCCCAAGATAGGCAAGCCTCCCCATTCTCACCTTTTAGCTACATGGTATTTTACTGTTTAATTGTAGCTTCACATTAACCATGTTCGGTATTCAGATTCTTCTCCTACAATGTAGAAATGGTATCTGAAGCTTGGCAAGGTCAATCAGCTTCTATAAATCAAAAAGGCAGGGAGGAAGTAGTAAAGTCAGGACTTGAAGTCAGGACTCTCAAATCCTGTGGCTCTTGTACACTCGATTAACAACTAACTAGTTTATACCTGAACTGAGACTTCAGGCATAATGTGTGTAAGCCCAGGACTAGTTTGTACCCAATATGCCTGAATAATAATGTAGCCAGGCACTTCTGACACTTTTACTGCAAAAGTTGCTTCCTGGTTGACTACTATCTCAGATTTCTGTACCTTCTGTACAAATATCAGTTTTATTATATATCAATTTCTGTGCCATTATTCATTCCTATGACAAAATAAATTGCATCTTATTTATATAGTGCATATTTCTGGTTGGAAGTGAGTGTACAGTTTTTAAAAATAAAAGCAGTAGCAGTCAAACATTTTAAAAAAACCTAACCTATCCTCTTCCCACTCTTGCATTCATCAGTAACCGTCATGGGCCACCCAGGGAAGGTTTAGAAACTAAGCATTATTTATCCATATCATCCAAATCTATTTTTCAAGTCTCTCTGAATTTAGAATGTGCATACTGATAATCCCCAAACAAAGATTCATTTCTTTAAAAATTTTATAAAGCTCTAGATTTAAATTCCAAGTAAAACCATTACTGAAACCAACATGATTAAAATACTATTTTGACCAAAATGACAAAGCTAAGGCCCTTCAAAAAAAAGCCTTTAAGAAAAACAAATCCTGTCTTTAAATGCCAAAATATTCACCTGGTAACGCAACATCAAGAAGAAGGTCAATGCCACGAGTCCTCAGCTATTCTCAAAAGCTACCTGTGGTCACATGTTCTTAAGAATTTTTGAACCATTAATCCAAATCATTTTTCTTTCAAGGCCAGGTCTCTCTGTTATCCAGGCTGGAGAGCAGTGGCATGGTTTCAGCTTACTGCAACTTCCACCTCCTGGGTTCAAGCTATTCTTCTGCCTCGGCCTCCCAAGTAGCTGAGATTACAGGTGTGCATTACCTACCACACCCGGCTATTTTTTTTTTTTTTTGTATTTTTAGTAGAAACAGGGTTTCATCATGTTGGCCAGGCTAGTCTCAAACTCCTGGCCTCATGTGATTGGCCTACTTTGGCCTCCCAATGTGGAATTACAGGTGTGAGCCACCATGCCCGGTTCCAAGTCTTGATTCAAATAGCTCTGGCAGGGATTCTAGAACTTTCCTATACTCTGTACTGCACTGTAGCGTATGAAGCCTTTTGTTTTATACCCTTCTTTTTAATCTAACATATATGCCACAGAAAAGAAACCTTCTTCACGAGAGAGAGAAAAATATAAAATGCTCCTGGCACAAGGAAAACAGTTATAAAAGGTCAGTAGAAATCATGCTCAAGGGATCTATACCACAGAGCTGAAGCACCCCACAGGTCTCTGAAGACCAATGACTGCTGAGAGAAGGGGTCAGAGCAAGGAGAGGAAAACAGGAAGAGAATCCATTTAGTGGCAAAGTGCTACTGCGGGAAACACAGTAAATGCCAATTTATCCCAAACTGTGTGTAATTCAAAGCATCAGCCATTCCCTTGCCACCTACAATGCTTTTAATAGCCTACTTTAATTAAAATTTTCATTGCATATTTTAATTAAAAATACACAATCTTCTGGACCTGTTTCATTCAAAGGTCACTTTATTTAGTCTTTTCTATTT